GTGTTTAGACTGAAGTTACCCATGATTCCAGATAGGAGAAAAATCTAGATTTTTGTGTATAATAGTTTGTCCTGTTCTTAATGAGGTTTCACCGAAACCAAACAAGGTTGTTACTGCAGCTTAAGGTATACTCACTTCTTTATGTGTAGTACACACGTAAAACATAAAAAGATCTCCTAGATGATACATAAATTCTCTACTTGTACATGAAAGCTTACTGTCCTCCAACTCACTCAGGCCTGGTGGCTTAAATAAAATCCTTCTCAGATTATTGTTAATGCGGGGCCTGATTCCACAGCAGCTATTGCTTTTGAACAATGTGATGCTTCTCTTCCCCCAAGAGAAGTCGAAAACGCATCTTTTGCAGCACTTTCAACCTTCGTCAACTCAGGGAGCATAAAACAGACTGAGAAATGAACGCAGGGCTCCTATTTGGGGATTCAGTGCACAACTTAAAAACTATTGAGTTTAGCTATTTCCTGACATTGACTTTCATAGCAACAGTTTAATTTGGAGAAAATCTGCTACCTCAAATAGCTAAAAGTATTTATGTGGAAAAATTTCCAAATGATTGACTTTACTGTGTTGCTATTTTCTTTCCCCATGAATATGTGAGTATTTGGCTTTCTCCCAAGAGTTTTTTCTGCATCACTTCTCTTTAGGAAAAGAAATTTTCTACCCAGAGTAGAAGCACCAGGAGTTTCCCTCCTCTAAGCAAGGTATTGTTTGAGTTTAAACCACAACATCTCTAAAAATGAGGAATTGATGCTTTGCCTGTGGCCTTAAATTTTTCCATGCCAATCATTGAGGTCATCTGAGTAACCTTGAGATCACTGTGGAGCTGGGCCACTGTCAGCAGTTTGTGCTTTCTGCAGCCCTGCCCAGTGCCTGTGCTCCCCTTCGGATCAGTTTTACTAAAAGTGTCCTCTCCACTGCCTCTCCTTCCTTACTCCAACTGATCGATGTTGCTAACATCACCAGTGACTCTCCATAATTTAATGTAATCATTACTATGGGTTATCATCAATCTTTCTGTAGCATTTGGCATTTCAAATGTCATTTTCCTAAAGTTAAGACCATTTAGCCTCATTTTCGTAAACAGTTTCCTCTTCCTTTGTCCCTTTCTTTTGTAAAATTTACTTTTGTATATCAACCATGTACATATGCGGTGACTATAGAACCCAGAAGAGGGCATGGGATACCCTATAACTAGTGTTTCAAGTGGTTATGAGCTGCCATGTGGCTACTGGAAATGAAACCCAGGTTCTCTGCAAGAGCAGCAAATGTTCTTAACCTGTGAGCCATCTCACCTGCTCCCTATTGTCTTGTTTGTAAGTATTGTTTCCTTGGAAATCAGTTCTAGACCTGCTTCACTTCTGATCTTACACTTGCATCCTGGAGGGCAGCATCTTCTCTGTGACTCCAATTCTGCTCTGCTGTTGGAGTCATCCCATCTGCTTTTCCAGCCCAGGTCCACGAACCAGGTCTAAGCCCAATCAGAACCTAGTTACCCCTATGCCCCGTTTCTTTTTTAGGTTCCTAGTCTTAGGGAGAACAATAATGTTCACTGTGCAATACAGAAACCTTAATTTCTTCCTCTATCATTTTCCTTGCCTTATAAATAAGCTAACATTTTCTATTTCCCATATATCTCTTAAATCCCTGTCTTCCCTGACACCTTGCCAGTATCCTTCTGCTGTAGGTTGAGAAATGACCAGCTTTGATCTAGATTGTTCCATCTTGCCTACTTAACATCCACCCTGCAGATTCCAGGAGCATTTGACCATCTCAGGTCTCTGATCAAAGCTCTCATTCTTTTACAGTCCTCTCATATGGCTCATCCAACCTCAGCCCGAGTCCTCGCAGACCCTCATCTTGCCATGTTCATGTGTGGTCTTACTGGATTTTTTTCATTTCTTCACACATACCATGGTCTCTCATCTCGGGACTTTCACATGCTATTTTCTTCTGCCTGGTACATTCTTTTTGTTCTCTCCCCCTGTGGTTAATTACTACTCCTCTTTTGAGTCTTAGTCTCTCCCAGATCCTCCCAAATCTGTCAATGGCACCTTTCCCATGGCTTCTGCCCATTGTCCCATCAGAACACAGGCCCCTGTATCACAGTTGCCTCATCTTGATACTCGAATTACAGCACCTGTTCTGGAAGGACAGGACTGTATCGCCCATGTTGACCATGCTCCATGGGTGCCTAGCATAGTGTTGGATTCACAGTTGGCACTGAGCTCAGTAAATACTAAATGAATGAATGAGGCCCAGAGTAAACTGTGAGCCATCCTTCTCCATGACACACGTATAAATAAATGCCATAATCTCATTTGCAGTTTCTTCCACACTAGTCAAGCTCCCCTGGCAGCAGGAACATCTATGACTTTCCCATAAAGCAGATAAAAACTTTGTTGCAAATAAAGGAACCTATATATCCCATAGGAAGAAAAGCTTTCCAAAGGTTCTGAGAATTAGCATATGGTAATTGGCAAGTCCCAGGGTATCTTTCAATCGAACCTTCACAGAAGTTCACTTAGCTTGTACGCAGTGCTTAAATTGAGTAGAACCTCATTAGGGAGGTGTGTCATGCCTTAGTGAAGATGGAGAGAATGAGAAATACAGCTTCCCATGATGTGGAGGCTGGGAAGACAGGGAACAAGGTGCCCTGTGGGCCCTCAAATGCATGTGTTGGAATGGAATTGACTGCTGATATTGAAAAGGATACAGGCCATGACCTTCGAAGAAAGCTATGATTGCCCTTCCAAATCCCGTTCTAGGCTTTGCAATTTCAAGAGGATCTACTGCATGCTTTCTTTCTGTTCTCTCCCCGCACTTCTCCTTCATTGCCAGCTCATGAGCAATCAGATTTTAAAGAACATCCCTTCCAGGAAACATCTTCCTAAGGAAACCATATGACTGCCAGGTTCAGCCCACCACACTATCCCTGTTTCAGTCTGCCACCATGCATCATTTATGTGCTCTGTTCTTCCCATTCTGAGCCCTTCTGTTCTACTTTGCCTCTCTGTTTCTGTGAGCAAGCCAGTAAGTAGCAAAACCAACTTCGGGGAGGAAAGGATTTATTTCTTATTACAACTTCCAGGTCACAATCCATCACTGAAGGAAATCAGGGCAAGAATCTGGACTCAGGAACTGAAGCACAGACCATGGGGTAATGCTGCTTACTAGCTTACTCCTCTGGCTCCTGCTTTCTTATACAATGCAAGACCACTTGCCCAGGGTTGGCACCACCCACAGTGGACTGGACCCTTCTGCATCACTCAATAATCAAGAAAATGCCTCACAGACATGCCTACAGGTCACTTATTTGAAGTTCCTTCTTCCTAGGTGTTTCAAGTTGACAACTGAACCCGTCCGTCACAGTTTCCCTTCCATGGTCTCTGTGACTAGGGTAAAACAGAAAAGGTGCCCATTCTCAGGTGACAACCCTACACATGCCGTCTTTTCATCTTTGTGCTTGTCACTTCTTGCCTCTCCAAATCCTCATTGTCAAGACCCAGCTCAGATGTTCCTCCTTCATGAAGCTTTTGTTATGACCTAAACAGTATTCAACAGTATAACAAGTAGCTATCTCACCTTTCTCCAACTCCAGGAGATCATATTTGTACCTACCTTAAGGTTCTGGACACCTTGTTTAGTTTCTTAAGAATGCCTTGTTTCTGCTAAATTATGTATTTCTAAAGGAAGACTTTTTTATCAGCATGTCCACACTAACACAGTAGGTATTCGGGGGTAATTGAGGTAGAAGGAGAGATGCAGCGGGGGAAGGGGAGTGGAGCACACAAAGGTGAATTAACGGGGTAAGGGTGGGGCTAAGCTTGGGCACTGAGACTAGTCATCCTGGATTTGATTTCTGCTCTGTCACTTACTAGGCATGAGACTTTGGACATGCTACATGAACATGTAACATGTCTGTGCCTCCATTTCTGTATCTGTAAAAGAGAATACAAAATTATGCCCTTACATATGATTGATGTAAAGCCTAAATAAAGCATTTAGTATAAGACCTGTTGCCTAGTGAGCACTCAAAAAATATCAGCATTTACAATACAGAGAGTCTAGTGAAGCTACCCCATGGAAAATGCTGGTGTGTACACTAAGGGCAAAGGACATTTGTGACTGGTCAAATCACATTGAAGGAAGTCAGATCTACATTGTTGCTGATAGAAGACCAGCAATGGCATTTTCCCTTGAGAACTTGGGTACCTGCTTTTTAGAAAATGTGAATCTCATTTCTGTGGTTCAACAGAGGAATAGTTTTGACAAGAAGACAGCAGAAGAGGTTGTCCATACATGGGCAGCAGAGGAGAGCCAGGTAAGCTTGTAGTACTGAGTTGGCATTTTAATGGACCCTGTTTTAATGTCTAATGATTTGAAAGAGATGGAAAACTTATGCTAAATGAAAGCCATGTTTTTGCTGCCATCTACAGATGCCAGAATACAATTTTTAAAGTTTCTTAACATGCCCACATGCCCACTCAGAAAGGGCATCTTGACTGAGTGACACTATATCTAAAATTTAGTTTAAGTTCTAGTAAGCTAAATTTAGGCATATTATTACAGCAGTTTCTTTTACCCTAATTTCTAAAACTGTATATATTTAGTCAGGAATACCGCCTTCTGACTCCTCAGGTTGTATTGAAATTTGTCATCCAGACACTGGTCTCAACTCAGGACTGGGCTGATCATTGCTCAGGGCAGCTTCACTGCCGCTATGGCAACCAGCAGACAGGACCAAAGTTTAAAATGGTCAGTGAAGAATGAGCTGAGCTGGATTTTACTCCAGGCTTTCCTGCATTTGTCTGGTTGTTACTATAGTTACGGTAAATTGTCTCTCATTGTTTGAATATGAGAAATCAAAAAAGTAAAGCCAAACTGCAGTAGTGTCTCATCTGAGACATTTCCTGTGCTCTGTCCTCTTATCCCTGTATACAGTAATTATGGCACCCCAACTGTCCTGTGTGTTATTTTTAAAGGGTTAAATATAGACAGAAATTATTGGAGAAGCGTCTGATGGAGAAAAAAGAAGTGGCCCTTCAAGAAGCACACAAAGAGGAAGAGAGAGAGAGGCGGCTAGAAGCCCTGCGGAAACAGGTGTTTTCAACGTGGGAATTTTGATTTTTTTAATGTTTCTAAGCGCTCTCGAGATTTAGTTCATGACATCTGTCATACACAGTGTAACTCTTCCAAACTAGGACACTGATTTTTGTTCCTGCAAGCGATTAGGTTTTTGTTGAGCCAGGTCCAAGATCGTAGTATATTAAGAGAACTTTATCAGCACTGTTCATTATTCAAACAGTTCCCTTTGCAACAGTGAAACTCTGCTTCCAGTCAAAGTACTTCACTGTCCTCAGAAATGTGGTAGAGCAAGATAATCCTCTTCAGGCGGGAACCTTTGCTTGGAAAAATCGCAGTCAATGGCGTGTAAGAGACTACTTTAAAATCCCTTTTGTAGGGAAATAAAAACCTCCCATTTCTTTGCCTGATAAAAGTAGGCAAAGCTAGGTGAAAATTAGATAGTACATAGCAAAAGCAAGAATTTAAGAGACTGGGAAATGTGAAACAGTTCCTCTGGTAATTTTTCAGAACATTGAACCCAAAGTGATTTGTTGAACAGATAAACTCTATAATGTTGAACATTATAAACTATATTGCTAGCTAATAAGAAATGCCTGTCTACTTTTCTTTCATGTGAGTAGAGATCACACAGAGCCATGGATGGAACTTGACCTTGGGTGTCCTTCAAATCTGGGACATCCTGGTTTGATTGCCAGTGTCAGAGGAATCTTAGATCATTTGCTTACTATTTCTCAGCTCCATTTCCTCATCTGAAAAAATAATGGGAATAACAACACTAGTGCCTGCCCTAAAGGTGTGCGGTCATTCAAGATCAAATTAGTGAGTACTTACTCAGTGTAAAGCCCTCTTCCAGTACTCTAAGGTGGTACTTGGTCTCATCTCTCTGGTACCCCTATGAGGTAAGTATCATTAATACCCCCATTTTTCAAAAGAGGAAACCAAGGAGGCACAGAGATCAGGTACTTTTTCCAAAGTCATACAGGTCGTGTCAGATGGAATTCCTCTGAGGGAAGCCTAGTTAAGTGAGAGTACAGATGTGGGGTAGATGCAGACAGCTCTCACATCATCATCTTCAATAAAATATACCATAGAGATGAATTCAAAGCACAGGAATGTAAGTCATCCTCACCCTAGAGCTGAGAAAATTCAAATTATTCAATCATTAGCAAATAATTACATACCACAGCCTTCTGTTGCCATTACTGAACACATTCTTGTTGCAAATACAACTTTGAGAACCACAGAGTCCATATGACTAGAATTTTCCTTCCTTTGAAGGAAGAAATATCTGTGCCCATTATCTGTAATCAGTATTTAGAATTATAGTATAAGATATTTAAGCTATAAAACCTATAATAATTAAATTCTGTTTGACCCCCAATTACTTCATCTACAGCTTCTAAATGGCATTAAAATGCCATTTACTTCATGCTAATTCTTGACTTGCAAAATTAACAAGCAGGTGTTACTAATGGTTTATAAAATTTATAAAATTAGTGGCTTCTTTTCATTAAGATGCAGGTTTGAACTATTCTCACTATGCAGGGCAAGGACATTTGTGTTTGAATGACTGTGCAGATTTGCACTAGATAGAGGAATCATTGTTTCTAACAGCCCCTAGAAATCTAGTTGCCTGGTACAATGGAAATTCAGCCAACTTGCCCAGAAATGAAGGGATGATTGATTTTACCACAACTGATTTGCTCTGGAGTCAGTTTAATCGGATTAAACCTTCTAGAAAGCTTCATGGGATTGTTACCATAACTATAAATTGTTAGCTGCTAAAATATGAATTTTTTGTTGCTTTTTGTCATTTTCAAGGGGTTTTCTATATAAGATATATCTATATATATGTAGGGTTTCTATATAAGATTTCCCCTGACTTTCATCATAGACATTTTAATCTGAGATTAATCATAAATGTGACTAATAATTAGCAGATGATTATGGCCTTTAAATATTTTGTTTGATACATGTTTTAACTCCATTGTAACTTTTTAGGACTGGATTTAATATTCCTTCTGCCCTTTCCTCTTAGGTTTTATATTTAATAAACTTCTTTAATGGTCATAAGACATTTACGTTACCCAGAAGCACTTAGCACGTTCTTTCTCCTGAGTGGCTATGCTTTCTCATCAGGTTGCTGTTGTCACTCCATTTGATCCAGTTCGAATGATGTCAGATACAATGGCGTGGAAAGCTAGGGTGGGCATGGAAATGAAAGAAGAATTTATTCTTAAAAAGCCACTGTTCACATTGACTACATACAATGAGCAACAGGTAATTATGGGCATGAGCAGGATTGATGGCAAAATCCATGCTGAGGATAAGAATCATTGGAGAAGTGTGTGCTTGGGGTTTCAATAATTGCTTTCAACATTTGCATTTAAATATCTTACATGTTAGCATATTTTTTTACTTCTAAGTGATAACACATAATTACTGCATGATTCTAAGTATTATAAAATGGTGACCATAGAACAAAACAGTTTACTGGAAAATCATCAATCTCCCACTGAAAATTTTTTAAAATAAAAACTATAAAGTTTGATTTAAAAGTCATTCATATTGCCTTATAGCTCAAATACTCCTCTGTTGTATTAAGAGTTTACATTTAAATTTGAAATATAAATCCTGTTAAATGAGCAGCTGAGGAGACAGATGAGACAGTTCTGAAGTAAGCTGCCAGAGATGATCCAGTCAGGTAACAGTGAGGCAGTTTCTGTGGAAATGCCATTGAGGAACCTAACCATTTGTAGAGACTTAGAATTCATGAGTCTGTGTCTGGCACTGAGAAGGGATCGTTCAAAGACCTTTTAGAGAGGTGGAGAGGGAGGGAAGACATATGAATGAATATCACTGGAATTAAAATGGAAAGCAGTCGCGAATTTTACAGATCTAAGGGGGAAAGAAGTTAGGAAGCCTCTGTTGCCCAATGAGTCCAGAGTGTCTCTGCTATGTGCTGAATGCTTTATAGCAAATAGTTAAGACTGATATTTCATTCATTTAGCAATCAAACAAACATGAAGTATATCCTATAGTCTGGCTCTGCGTAAGATGTAGCCTTGGGCTACCTCTTGAATTGACTAGACTGACCCTGCCTGGAGGAAGTGAATAGAGTGCCCAGGTTAGGAGGGAAAGTAGTGTGTATAGAAATAATGCACAAGGATTAGAACAGCTCCATGCTGGAGGTGGGGAGAGAGCGCTCAACCCTGATGGGGAGGTTAGAGGGGGTGTGAGAGGTGGAGCTTCTGAACTCTCTAGCTTCGTTAAGGATTGGAGGCAGTAGTTATAAAAGTCATTCAAGATTTATAATAAAAGCAAGCAAAAAAAAAATAGGTTGAGGTGGATAGGGAGAAGAATTACTTATAAGAATGTATGGGTATCTCCAGACACCAGCTGCCAAAGTGGGGAGGGCAGGTGGGCCCTGAAAGGACTGAGCACAGAGGGTGGAAAAGTCTCAGGGAGCAGGACTGAGCAATCAGAGTTTTACCAGACAGGAGAGACAGAGAGGAGGCCCTTCCTTGTATGTCTTCAGTGTAAGAAACATGGCAGGGGCACATGAAACGATTGCTTACACATTAGAGTGGAAACTTGGGCGAGGGCCCTGCTATGACAGATAACAAGTCATGCTACTCAGATATCTGGCCTTTATCCTGTGAATAGATGTGAGACTTTGAAGCAGGTAAGCCATATCATCTCCATCTATGTGTAGTCCTATGTCCTAAATAGAAAACTGATGAGCGTAGGAGTAGGGCAAGAAACTTTCAAGATGGCAGAACCCTCATGGGAGTGGTGGTGAGAGAGTCAAGAATGACTCTGACAGAGAGGGAGAGGATAAAGTGAGGATAGTTCCAAACAAGTACTGGTAAGAGCCTGCATTGTGGATTCAAACCCACATCTGAGATTTATTAGCTATGTGCACTTGCATAAGCTATTAACATCTTTATGTTTGTTTTCTTCATGTGCAAAATAATTACTTTCAATGTTCTTATGAGGATTAGAAATAATAAATATCAACTGCCTAGAATATTGCCTGGTACTCAGCAGTAATTCAGCGAATGAGTGCCATTTTGTGGCTCTGCCATTAACCATATAAGAATACAGAAGGAAAACAAGCCCAGAGAGGAGAATTCGTTTTGTTCATGTCATGTTCAGGGTGAAGAGGTCTAGTGCACATTTACAAGAAACCTATTACCTGCCTCTGGGGAGGGGAAGCAGTGAGCCGAGCAAGGTCTGGGTAAGAAAAGGTTCCCATTTTCATTTTCTATTTACTAAAAAGAATAATGAAAAAAAAATGTAAACTTCATAAGCCTGGAGCTGAAAAAGTGAACCTTGAACAGAATTTGAAAGTTAATGGCACACAGATCACAGAGGAAGTGTGGTCCTCTGTGAGTGGGTAAGAATGAGTTAGGACAGAAAAGGAGAAGCTGGGGTCCTTAGCTCAACAGACTGATTTTCAGACACAAATCCCTGGGCTACTCCTGACCTCACACTCACCATTGCTCCAGCTCTGTGTCTGATTGGTTGCTAAGTTCCACGGATTCCTCCTTTCAGAGCACTTCTGACAGCTCTTCCTTGATTCCAGCCAAGTTGAGGCACTTATTACATCATGTCTAGACTCCTGACCCACCCCCTGCCTTCATCTCTTCTCTCCCTACACCTTAAATTTATTCTGAACTTACAATCAGATCCATCTTCTTTTACAGATACACTGATTACATTATTTTTTAAAGCAGAAACAAACACCACCGGACTAGCATAGCCTTCAAGAATTTTGAACCCAAAGCCTAGTCTGAGAGCGTTCTTGTTTGACCCGCTCAGTGGCACCCAGTATTCTTCCCCAACTCCCTTTATCCCAAATTGAACCTTTTCATCCCAATGTTTGTATGGCCCTCCTTTGCTTTAAAGGCAATTAAGTTGGACTTCAAGGTTAGCTCAATTGCTTCTTACCTGAAACCACCTCATGCCACCAGCACCACACATACCTCCATGTTTTACTACTTGTGGCCACAATTTTATTTATGTGCCTCTTTATTACTGACATGCATGTAGGAAATCTTTGAGGGAAGAACTGTTTTCAACAGCTTATAACCTTATCTTCTTGGGGGGGGGGACTTCAAATCCATGTAAAATGCCTCATTAGGTGAAAATTCAATGTGACTACCTTCTTTTTTTATTTTTATTTTTATTTTTCAATTTTTAATTGAATTTTTATGTATTTCACACATAAAATCATCTTTATACTCCCTGCCTCCTTCCCCTTTGGCACCCTCCTGTAGTGCCCCCCCAATGAAGTTCATACATTCTGTCATCTGTATTAAGGCCTATTATGGAAAGTTAGTGTCTTGAGATATCCCTCGGTACAAGTTCATCCACCAGGATTTAGTCAGCCTATCTTAAGTCTTTCCCTTCAAGAAGATCAGCTCTTCCTCACCCTTCAGTCATCAATAATTCTTCCACTAAGATTGGGAGCTGCTGTTATTTCCATAGCTGGGTTTTTGTCTGCCTAAGTTTGCACGGGTCTTGTGCATGCTGACACCATTGCTGTAGGTTTGTATGAGAAGGGTCCCAGGTACCTCTAGGACCATTTCTGTATGGTCATGCACCTCCTGGCTCTTACAATCTTTCTGCCCCCTCTTCTGCAATGGTTCCTGAGCCCTTGGTAGATGGACCTCAATATAGTAGTTCTGTCCAAGGACCACATTCTCTAGACTCTTCTTTGTGTTTTGACCATTTGTGGCCTTTTGTGTTCCTGGCTTTCTGTTGCATGAGGGAGCTTCATTGATGAGAACCAACAGATGCATTAGTGCTCTCTTCATCCCTTGTTCTACGTTCCGTGAGTCTTAGGTGTAGAGGTTGCATCCTGGATGTGCCACTTAGGCTTGGGCAATTCGCAGAGAATCTCTTTGTGTGACCAGTGCTGTAACTCTGTAATGATCTCTGTCTGTTGAAAAAGAAGCTGCTTTGATGGGTGGTGACTGGGATACTTATCTATAAATTTAAGGCTACATATTTTGCACATAGTAAGAAATTACATTTGCCTAGGGATATGAGAGCCTTGGGGTTTTCTATAAGAGCTATGACCTCTCCAGCTATGTGTATTTGGCTAGCTTTTTAGTCCCAGACATGAATTTCCTCTCATTGAGTGGGTTTTATGTTCAATTAGGTAGCTGTTGATTAACCACAAGATAAAAGTGCCACTACTGCACCAATGTCGTTTGCTTGTGCTGCTCATTGATGTGGTTTTTAGGCCTTGAAGCTAGGATTGGACCACTGATTGATGTTCTCCCTTACCAGCTGGCATAGTGCTCTCCAAAGCTATGAGAGCTAACCTTCAGGGGAGGTGGCTTCCAGGTCAGTTCTAGCTCCATTGCACCAAATCCTGTGTCCAAAGTATGTCCTGTCTTCAGCAATAGGTTCTTACCATCAAATTCTGGGAAGCCATTAAGGACTGTGGCAATAGCCTGTGTAATTTTGGGAGTCTCTTGGACTACTCTGGCCAGCAACTCAAAGGAAGGTTTCTCCTATCTGGCACTGTTTCTTACTTTGTTGACTACCTTCTTATAATGACAAAGAATGTGTTGACATTTAATATTCATAGCGGGAGGAGGGTAATAAGTCCAATCAACTACAAATGGGAACAACAACAGAGCTTCTTGTGTGTCTGCTCCCACTTAGCTTCAGATGGATGGAGGCATTTCCAAGTCTGTTTGGAATGCAAACTGCCTTGGAGGAAGGTTCTATTGATTTTGATTTTCATGAAATGACCATGTGTTTAAGCTTAATTTTTATATTACTAAATGATGGAAAGGTTAAAATGTCTGTTAAAAGATATTTAGGAAGTTGATCTGTTTATTAAAGTAGATTTATTTAACATTAATGTTAATGTTAACATTAATTAAAATATATTTAATTATGTACATGATTTATCTACATAATTCTAGCCACAATAATGAATCAACAATAGTTCTAAACTCAGCTTCTTTTATCTCATCTTTCAACAATTTTAGTGTATTTTTTTTATTAATCTAGTACATAATGTTGAATATAGCTTATATTGGAAATACATAATAAGTGACACTCCAAAAAGGTTTAGACGTTTTTAGTAAAAAAAAAAATCCATAGTCACAGTATCAACAAAGTTTACTGTCACTTAGTCATCTATCCAACAAAAACAAATTAAGCAACTTGGAAAAACTATGAAACTAAATGATAAAATTTACTTTAATTAGAAGACTTGTTATTTATTTAAATTGTGTTTTTTCCACAGATAATTTCTGACCCCAGGCTTCGCTTTGAGTTAGCACTTCGAGAAGCTGGACTTCATAAGACATTGTATGCTAAAGAGATGTTACCAAAAATCTGTCCTCAGAAACTTCCAAGAAAGGACACGGAGTCAACTGTATTTAAATCCTAGAGCTCATATGTAAACACACACACACACACACATACACACACACACACACACACACACACACATATATAAATGATTACCACTTCTAAAGGTTTAAAAAATGCCAGGCATAGAAATCATAGCATTCTATTAAACAATTTTGTCTTTTTTATGATTTTTTATGAATTATTTCATTTATCTTTAAGTTGCATTTATTATTACCCAATTTGCCAGGATTAAGGGCTTTTGTTATATATACTGTCATTTAGTAAACTGTATTTGGAAATTGTTTAGCCTATGAAAAGTAGCTCAAGATAACCGTTTGTGAGAAATATAAATTACACAGCTGACATTCATTTCTACTTGTTATTTTGCCATCTGACTTTTAATTATGGGAGCTTCATTATCATTAATACTTCTATTATTTTTTGATCATTAGAAAGTTCAACCTTTCTCTAAATTTAGAAACCAATTTGGTACATCATGTTTACTGCAAACCAATCATCCGAACAATCTCACTTTGCAAATTTGCCTTAAGAATACATTAGAATTAATGTTCCAAGCATGGGACTACCTATTTTGGCTTTGGGGAAAATGTCTGCAGGTTTATCTAGAAGGAATTCTTAAAATTTTATGATACCCAAAATGCTGTCAAAAGTTCCAAACTAAGAAAAAAAAATCTAGATGATTTTCTGGAAAAGGAGTATTCAAATGAAGCCCAAACATATATTTTTGGCTATTTCTGAAAAACGGGTAAATCCTGTTGTTAAAATTTGCTGGTTGCCAACAGTATTAAGAAGTCTGTCCACTTTTTTTTCTGTATTGCCGTTCCCTGTTTTTCCCACCCGCCTCTAACCAAGGGATTATTGTCTATAGGTAGTTACCGGAATGTTTTCCTGAAAAACGGGTAAACCGTGTTGTTAATATTCTCTGGTTGCAAACAGTATTAAGAAGTCTGCCCTCTTTTTTTTCTGTATTGCCGTTCCCTGTTTTCCCCACCCGCCTCTAACCAAGGGATTATTGTCTATAGGTAGTTACCGGAATGGTAAACGAGAGAGAGAGAGAGAGAGAGAGAGAGAGAGAGAGAGAGA